AAAAAAATCATCGGTGGCAAATCACGAGAGCTGTCCAAATCTGGTCTCAGATTTTGCGTCTGCAAAAAACACCGCCCTCCAGAAAGTAAGCAAGATTTCTTATCCTTAGAAAGTCTTCAATTAACTGTTCCATGTTATAATAGCTCTAATTTATATTATTCGAAGTTAATAAAAAGTAACTTTGAATAATACAAATTAGTCATGTTGAATTAATTTATCGGTTGATTTTTCTGCACGACTAGAACTTTCGAAAAAATTAAAAATATCTGAACATATATCGAGCGAAGGACGAAAAAAAAAATCTTCGTACGAAGATGCGGCTTGAAACGTCGATTTACGCGGTATTTTCAGATTTCGGAGGAAGTACCCCCAACCCGAGAAAAGTGCACCTTTGTGCAGGGGGAAATATTGTGAATATTTGCCCGAACGGACCATAAGTTTTTCAACGCAGCCGCAGCAGCTACAACAAACAAGCAATACTAAACTAGGCTTTCGTAAGCTCTTTTCCCGCGGCGTAAAACCGCTACGGAGCCACGGACCTCGTAGCAGGCGGTAGAAGTGTTCCACGATTGATTGCGCCCGGTACGTGCTCCCAAAAATCATGATGGTGCTTGACGGCTCATCCACCATATGTCACCCATCATTCATTCATTGTGATTTGGCCGACAAGAGTCAACACAACCAACTACGTAGTAGTTGACGGCTGATCGTGCAGCATCACCATGGTTATCTTGACCTTCCTTGCTTGGCCGTCACCAAAAACAGGATGGAACATCAGTCATCCGTTGTTCACCCACCAATGTTCTTCAGTAGAGGCAGTACCCAGGGTCCAAAGAATACACACATATTCTGAATTAATCGTAAATTTTCCTCTATATCATGGTATGCACAGGCAGTAGGTGCACGCGAATCCCTCATCCCTCATCGTCAACGCTACAGCTTTTGTGGTTTTTCACAAACAAATACGTCCCCTTCCTCGGCAAATAAACAATTCTGCCCGCGGGGATATTGAGCAGAATCCTGCGAGGAATCATCCCACGTGGTCAACAAGGGAAAACTCTACAACAAAAGACCAGCATATCTTTCTTCTCGTACCCAAAGGCCTACGTCCGGCGCCATTGGCCTTCGGGATCATCTTCTGGTTGTGATATTTCGTCAAGCCAACAGGCAGTAGCTTTTGACAAGGCAGTGACGAAACGCATCGTCGTCGTGGTAATCGCCAAGCTACTGAGCAGCCACGGGGGCGGAGAAGTCGTACATCGACTGGAAGTGCGAGGTCCTGAAGAGATTGAGGCGCGACGAGGAGAGCAAGGGGCCAAAAAATATGAGTAGGGGGGG